CACTGAATTAAAAATTAATGATCTTACTATTTTGAGGAACTAAGAACATACGTTTAATATCATTCAGCAAAAAATCAAATAGGACAAGAGTAATGTATAAAAGAAGAAAAATAAATTAAATGAGACGATTAATTTAATCCACTTCTAGTCAATGCATTATATTTATACTTAGTTGTTGTTTCAAAAACTGACACCGAATTCTCTTATAAAATATTGAGACACATAAAACCAAAAAAAATAAACTAACACAAAGTAGTGGTAAAGCAAAACAAAGACCTTATTATGTAAAAATTTTATTTTTTATTGTTTGGAACAATTCAATAGCATTAATACGTCATAATAAAAACAAACAATACGTAATACCAAATAATATTGAATAAGAAGTTTTAATTCATAATTATTTCACACTAATTTGTTTTTTCAAAATAATACTTAACAACACTTATAAATAAGAAAATGAAACTTATTATTTATTAAACTTACTTATTTGAACCATTAATAATATAAATCATTACAATTAACCATATAGATATTCATATTTTTAGTGTTATTAAAAAATAACTAATTTTATTTATTCATTTATTAATCCATTTTTTGTGAAATTTATAGTTTAGTAATATATTTTCAAAAACATTTTTTTATCTATTTATTCTCTTTTCATTAATTCTTTTGAAAATAATGTCTTATAAATATCACTAAGTTAATTAGTATTCTATTTTTATTAAATAATTGTCCATTCTCTTCATTACTTGTTTTTATATTCTTTATGAAATCTACATTATATTCAGACTATATACTCTTATTTTGGATTTATTCTTCTAAAGAACAAAACGGTTGTATAATTTATGCTTTCAAATAGTCTAGTTTTTATTGTTAATCAGAGTTTGTATAATATGTTTAATATACATACCAAGCTAACTAATAAGTATTAAATAATATTTTAATAGAACAATATAGAGGTTAAATAATTCTTTTCCTACAAAAGATAAATCATTAAATTAACACACATAAATAAAAGTATTAAAGAATTTGTTAGTTCTATTTTAAAATAACTACAAAGAAACAGAAAGTATATAATATAATAGCTACAACAAAAAAATAATATTTTATCATAAAATGAATTATGATAATTTAAAATTAAACAAAATATCTTCTAAAAGTATAACCACCAATTCATTCTTTGGTTTATATTTTTATACTATTAATATTTCTTCTGTTATTACTGTATCTACTTTATTATTTTTATGAATGATTTAATAATAAAACTCTTTGATACTAAAATAACATTATAATAATAAATATAATAATAATTTTTAGTTGAATTGTTGTGTTTATTATTTTTTTGGAATATATTTTTAGTTTTGATGATGTGTATTAGAACCTAAAAATAATATCAAAGTTACAATATTCAAATATTCTATCTATTGATTTTGTAAAACCCCAAAAAGCATATATTAAACTAAAAAAATATAGAGATAAATTAATCAAAGAACGCCCCATAATTTCTCAAATGCAGAACAAACTTTACCAGCAACACAAGCAGCTGATAATGGATAATTTGAAATTGATAAAGTGATATCAGTATAATCAACATTAATATGTCCATGTGCAAAAGCTCCAATAACAAAAACAGCACAATTATCATCCTTAACTGCTTCTGCAACACTTTGGTTAATATCAACTAATTTTTCTGAAGCATAAGATAATCCAAAAACTTTAGCACCTGGTGGGAAATATTGAGTAACAGGATTTTTTATAACAGAAAGTAATTTATCAGGTCCATCAGCTGCATGAATTGATAATTTATGAAGTAATTGAACCATTAATCCAGCAAATCTTTTATATGTTCTTGGAATACGAAGTTGTGGATTGACTTCAATCAGAGTGTTATTATATGTTCTAATAAATATTTGTAACATACCAGCTTTATTTAATGGACTGTCAAGTAATGTTAATAATGTCTAATAATATTAGAATTAAAATAAAAATATTATTTAATTAATAACAAACATAATGAAGAATATCAGGACGATATATTGTAGTATCTTTCCCTCTTTTTTGTAAATCTTTTAATGTATTTGGAGAATCAGTTGATGCTAATTTATAAACAGCCCCAACTTTAACAGGTTCAAGTGGAGCATTTTCTAAAACAACAATAAGCCGTTTCCATTCTAACTTGTCATTTCTTTCTTTTGGGATATTGATTCTTGTTGCCATGATTAAATAACCTTTTTCCTTTTTCTTTCTAAAAACTTTTTATTTAAAAAACCCTTTTTTAATTTTTTAATTCTTTATGGTTATATATAACACAAGAAGTTAATTATTAACAATAACATCATATGAAGAAATGTATGGTGAATTGATATAAATTTCTTTAACCAATTCAGTTTCAAAAAACTGTTTAACATGAAGACGAAGACAGTACATCCCTTTCTTTAAATTTTTGCCATCAAAACAATAAACTTTAACACCAACCATCATTCTTTTTTTCTTAATAAATAATAATTCGTTATCAATTGACCGTAGCCATAAAGAAATCCAACAATCTTCTAGTACCCTATTGGCAAAATGAATTTCTATTCTTCCTGAAATCCAATTAGCAAAAGATATTCCCCAGTATCGTTCCAAACAAACATTTTGGATTCCGACAATCAGAATATCCTTTTTTCTTAATTCAATTGTAAGAATTCCTCGCTCTTTTACTTGAACAAACCGAGAAAATTCTCCAATTCCAATAGGAATCTTTAATTTAATTATTGTTTTATTATAAAGAACTAATAACTCAGTGTCTTTACACGTACAATAGCCAAAAACTAACAATCCATTTTTCCCAGCTTGACAACACTCTAACTTATTTTTCCTTCTTTCATTCATCATAACTTTTGCTATTTTATTTTCTCTTTTTATTGTTTGAATGGAGTTTAATTCTTTTATGTCATCAACTTCTCTCATTAGATATTCAATAATATAATTTTCCATCTTATGATGATAAAGTTTAATCAATAATTATTTAAAAAATAGTTTGATTGAAATAAATAAAAATAAAAATTAAAAAACAATTATAAAAATAACAAAAAATAATTCTTCAACAACCATTTATTAATTTCAAAAATTTATCTGTTAGATTTAGCAACACGTTCCA